CAGTTAAGTGAAACAACTGTGCTTATGAATTTATTTCAGCTTTGCTTTTATCAAATGTTTCAAATGCAAGAACTGGTTGTGAAATTATGTTTTCATCGCTGTTATAATTATAACGGATCACTCATTGATGTAGTAATTAAACAAACCTGTAAGAGTAGTGAATCACAAAAGCAATATACAAAAAATTAACTAAAAATAAAGTCCAGTATATTTTTCCACAACTAATAAGATTGAAACCTATACAACTGGTGAGATTCTTCCATAAAATGCCTATAAGGCCTTTTCAAAATCTATAGCTGGAACCCTGTGGAACCAATGACAATGCAGAATTATTGATTTAAGAATGACAGATTAAGAGGAATTTGAACTAATCACCCAAATATACTATAAGAGACAAATTCCAGTAGCAGGATTAAATAGTATTAATAGACAGGGGAGATAAAATGAATTTGGGTTTTTAAATTCAAAAAGAAAACATATAAGAGCAAATATTTTGTGGTTAAATTACAAGGTATTTTAAATATTAGAAGAAATTTCTTAAAAGTAAGAATAGTTTGAAGGTGAAGTCAAATTAAGTAGCAAGATTGTTGGAGAATGTTTGCTGGTATTAGAGAGCTTCAATTTGAGGCCAGTTACAGCTGTCTAATTCAGATTTTCCTGCGTTGAACAGACGATATGATGATAACCCAGTTTGGATTCATTGCTATGATACTGAACAAAAGTGATACTCCCGTGTACAATGTTTTTAGATTATTGGACTAATATGCAATATGTTATTATAAAATAACTTATAAAAATGAAATAAATAACATATTCTTTCAGAACAAGAAAAATAACCCTAAGTTTCATTTTTCTCCTGTAGATGGTCAGGACGCAATCATCGTGAGAAGATTGGTGTGCATGTCAACTTTGATGAGATTCTAAACATGGAACCCTATTGTTGCAGAAAATCTCTAAAATCTCTTATGGCAGATTACTTTATCTATGATTTGTCTGCTGTTGTGATGCATCATGGAAAAGGATTTGGTTCAGGACACTACACTGCCTATTGCTATAATTCAGATGGAGGTAATTCGTATGAAAGTGCACAGATTATTGGATTTATATGAGAAATGCAATTAATAAGGCTATCTTTTAATGGCAATACTTTTTGGAAATTTTATGTTATAAACAATGTTTACATTCTTGAGATTCATAATTTGGAAATCTGAAAAAATTATAGCATATCACATTGAAAGATAAGGCAGCTGTACTGCCTTGCATGAAATCCCATTTCCCCTGAATATTAAAAACTGTTTCATATACTGTAATTATTTCAGATGGTTGTTTCTGTATTGGACAGCTTTGAAAGGTGTGTATGTGTGTTTTGATTACACCAGGAATGTTGCCTTTGTTTGCCTCTAATTACAAATCACTACACAGAGTGAATGAAAAATGTAATTTGGTTGTGGCCTTCATAGGGGAATGGTTGTTACTATGGCTGTGCAGTGCTGCATTAATTAAATATTTGGTCTGGTTATATACTGAATAACTGTAGTTTCTTAAATTATAAAATATCAGTTCTGTGCTTTTAGAAGAAAACATCAACATTACCATTTTTATTACTCTTATTTTTGTTGTTCTAGGGTTCTGGGTACACTGCAATGATTCCAAGCTCACCATGTGCACTATGGAAGAAGTATGCAAGGCCCAGGCATATATTTTATTTTATACCCAACGAGTTACTCTAATGAATGGACATTGGAGAATGTCAGGTCTTGATTCACCATCTGGGAAACAGGCAAATACTGAAGTTAATGGCTCCAATGCGAAAAGTGACAGCTAATTCAGAACCAAATTGCTATGTACAGAATAAGTTTGAATTGCGCAATAATGTACTAAATCTGCCTTCTGGAGCCAAACCCTATTACGTGTTCAGATCTTTTGTACCTTTTAAACTCATTCATGACTGTAACTTCCCAAGTTATTAACATATATATCTCAATTGTTAAGAGAAAATTTTCCATTTGAATCTTTAAATTTTACCTCAAGCTGTTTTTCAGCATTTTAATATTTTGAAATAGGAAATTTAGATGAGGAATATGGGCGGGCAAACTCTGGACTATTTTTAAATTAAAAGCTGTGTTTTATACTACTACTAGCAATACTGTGGATGTTGTCTACAGGAATCTGTCTTGCTTCCATGATTAAAAGATGTGATGGTAACAAATGCGTTTTAAGTTTTCTTCTGGCCATGTTAAAATGTTCTTTCTCTTCTGTAAGCAAAGAGTTTAAGTAGTACAACACTCCTCACATTTATATTATTAAAGCACTAAATCACTAGAAAGGTAGCAAGAACATTTAAATATTATTTCCATAGCCTATTTATTGGTTCACTCAAGTATACTGCTGAACTAAGCTTTCTGCCCCAGGTTCTATATCTAATCCAGTGTACATAAGTCTTTGACTTATGATTGGTCACTTAGTGATTGAAGTTATGACGGACCCCTCTCCCCAACAGCATGATTGCATTTGGGGAACCCAGAAACAGGCGTTTTCTTCTGGCTCTGTAAAAATACCCATTGTGGATAGTGGATTTGTTTAATGACCATGGTAATTTGCTTAATGATCACAAAATACAAAATCATGTGATGACCCACTTAATAACCAGCATGACTTACATTTTAATTCCAGGGTCAGTTATGATCATAAGTTGAATAACTGTACTCTGATCTGTCACTTGCCATAGTAAAATCAATGGAAGATAATTAAAAAACTTTTTTTGCTATTAACATATCTGGAATATTTTTTTGATTACTAAGGTTTTACAGCACATGTGTCAGTCAGATTATTGCCTTAATTTTTCCTAAATACTGTTTATAGTTTCTACTGGAAAACAACATTCAAAATATTACTCTATACATATTAATGATTTTTTATCTAGCGTGTCCCTTTCTAAATGTAAAGGTCTTCGTGGTCTTTTTTTTTTTTTGAGCGCTTCAATTTCAGCTGCTCCTTATGTTCATTTATCCAATGCAAAACTACAGCATAGGCTAGCTTTGGCAATTAAGTGGGTCATTCAGAGCAAATTGGAGGGAAATTTACATTATGACTAGATTGTAATACTTTTCAATGTTCATACTACTGCATCAATGAGGCTCAAATTAAAATTCTCCAGAGCATAACAAAACCCACCAAAATTGCCTTTAACTTTTTGTCCTACTGACCTAAATATGAAGGTATCTGAACTACAGTTCTCTCACATTCTCTCAAAAAAATTTCTCCATGGTTTGGAGAAACCATTCTTATCTGTTGTGAAATATCCTGTGCAAGTTTCTCAATGGCAAGAAAGGCTAATACCATACTTTCTCATATAGGAACATTCATGTGGAAAATAAACACTCGTGCCTTCTTCTGAAAACAGGTTTGCAAAAATGACTTTAGATATAGCTGAATTTACATAGAAATCTATTTTAATTCTCTTCATAGGAAACTTTTAAGAATCAAGTTAGCACTCTTGAATAATTGATTTCTTGCCATAGAATAGATCCACAGAAAGCCAAATCAGGAAGTGTAATACAGAGAAGGTCTTTGTCCAAGTTACAATAATAATTACATTGAGTCTTATTCTTAAAGAGTTTAAAATACTTGCTTCAGATATCTTATGGTGGTTAATTGTGATTTTCATTTACAACAAAACTTGCCTTCCTCTGCATGTTTCATATTAATGGCTATTATTTGCAAGGCAAGCCTACTCAGCAGATACTTTTCCATGTATTTTCTGCATCACACGAGGTAGCAAAAGATATAATAGTTCAGTCTTGAGAACACAATGGAGGCAGATAACATTACAAATTTAGAGGGCACAAACTCTGTTTTTATCACTTTAAAAGATGCACAAGATTTTCTGTAAATAAAACTATGTGACAGGAACAGAACAGAAATAGAAGAAAAATGATTAAGAAATTAAAAGGACTGAGGAAAATCTCAATGAGAATAATGAACTTAAAAGACAATTACAATGCATCAGATTTCATTTCCATGCTGAATTTGTATTCTATGACACAGATTTAATCTTTTAAAAGAAGCCCCAGTGTCTGTACAATCAGTTCAGGTAGTTCTTAGCCTGTGCTTTTAACATTTAGGTTATCATAAATTCCAAATGTAAAACCTTTAATTTTTTTTATATGCTTGCCAAGAAAGAGTTTCACCTATCCTCTTATCCTTTAAGTAATACCATTAGCGACAATAGATATTTTAATCTCAAAGACCTGCTTGGTTTCTCTTGCAAAGAAAAAATATGCCAGGACAGGGGTCTCCAAACTTAGCAACTTTTAAGACTTGTGGACTTCAAATCCCAGAAATCTGGGAGTTGAAGTCCACAAGTCTTAAAAGTTGCTAGGTTTGGAGACCTGTGCTAGGGTGTGAAGGAAAGGCTCCAGCTTTATTACATAAAAAGTCAAAAATAGCATGCTTATTTTTTATACTTTGTTTTTCAAAAGTCTTAAACATAGTGCTAATTGTTCAGCTGTTTTCAGTTCTATTGTCTTTGAGCTAAATATATATATATGTTTTCTTAAGTTTTCGCAGGAACTTAGGAATTATACTTGATTTCTCATCAGTTCTCTGCGAGGTTTGTGAAACTATTTACACTACTATAAAGCCGTATCCCAGCAGCCTGCAGATTACAACTTGTTTGCAACTTTTTATATGTATACTTTTTCTAACACAAATAATAAGAGCTCAATATTTAAAATATTATTTTAGTATCTATAAAAACATGGAAAGTTATTAAAACTGAAATATTCCTTCTAGCTTCTGAAGAATCCAGCATTGTGTATTTTTAATCGCAATAGCCAAGATTATAGGTTGGCAAAGCTATAATATATTTAACAGCTTCAACCTTTCCAAGTTAAATAGTACTGCAACTAAGAAACCTCTTAGTTTATACAATACCTTAATGAGCTCTACCGTTACGACATAGTAGCTCCACCAAATATTTTAACGATTTTAACCTTTGGATGTTCCATTAATCCTGGTTTGAATAGAACAAAAAGCACTACGGTTCAAACTTTTTGTACGTTAAGAACAGAATGATTCTGTGTGATTTTGATTGGCTTCAACTGTACTGCATAGGAGATGAACTCCTTGTATCAAGCTTTTATAAGTAAAAATTTCTAGTAAGTTAAAAATATAGAAGCTCACACTGTAGTTAGAAGAAATAGCCTGTTATAAGACAGGCTTCTATAAACACTAGCTAGTGTTTATCATACAGGAATGGCAGAGAATAAACGTACTAGCCTATTTCAGTAGTAGCCTCCAGAATTCACCAAGTGAGTAGATCCCACACTTGGAATTTGAGAGGGTTGTAACAACACTGTACTTTTTAATAAGCAATACAGTGCCAAAAAAATAAAATGGCCTTTGAGTTGATTCCACATGACTTCATGGATACACCACTGCAATTTTCTAAAAATACCATAAAAGTATTTACATTGGTTTTTTTTTAAATTCTAAGTCTACAATACAGCCTTGGGTTTACCATATGTTGCCCCTTCAGTGCTGCTTAATTAATTTTACAACCAGGTCAAGCAGCTTCAAAATTCCCTCAAATTCTATGCCAGCCCATCATGATTCACCATTTACTTCTCTTAAATCCCTTGTAAGGTTAAAAAAATGCAGCATTTCACTGCAAGAAAAATGGCTAGTCCTAGCCCACTCTATTATAAAGCATATCAGAAAGAAAACCCAGTAATTTGATTCAAAGCAAAATAATGAAGCAAAATAAAAACGTACACAATGCAGCTAAAATTAAAGCATACTTTGTATTTGCTTGCTGTGCTTACACTGGAAACTTTTTCTATCAAAAGGTGGATTAATGGGAGAGATTTTCCAGTGTGTTACTGCCTTGGATTGTGACACTTTTAAAAACTATTTGAATTTGTGATTTATTTATTTATTTTACAAAATGCATTCCAGGCAGTTTAAAAGGCAACAGCAAAGACAGCTTAGGTGCAGAAATCATTTGTGATCATTCAAAGCATTCAAGTAAGAATATGATAATATATATACCTGAAAAGCATTTTTTCAGAAATATTTCAAACAATATGTATAACTCATTCCAAACTAAAAATAACACTTTGTAGCATATTTCTCACAAAAGAAAAATATAGAAGTAATCTGAAACATTCTAGAAGCCCCAGTAGCTGTTTTTTTCCTTAGTTACATTAGAGAACTTGCCTTTGATTAAATTCTTTTCTTCTGAACATGGAAAGTTATCACATTAAGTTGACTGTTAAAACAGACTGCAAATTTATTCTGGCATAACATGTTCCAACAGAGTACATAAATGAGGTAATGGCTTTGAAATTTCAATAGTCATCTCCTCTGCTGACAACTTCTTTGCACATTGGACGCAATAATATGGTGTGCTCAAACTGTGCTGTGTATGAGCCTTTAATATCACATAGGGGAGGATATGGGTCCACTATACCCAAGTCACATAGGTTCTTCAGTGCCATTAGATATTTACTTTCTCCCAGACGATCTAACCATCTACGGCAAAAGGCAAGAGTACCAAAATTTTCATTGATAACATTCAGCAAGTGTTTTGCTCTTGGAAGCCTGAAAGAAAGAGAATAATAAATGTATACATTTAAAGCAGGTATTAATGAAAATTGAAATAATTATACAGAATCATATCAGACATTCAATATTTGATTCCTCATCAGTTACTTTGTGCAGCCTATCAGTATGTGGTTTTCAATAACGGGAGAACAATTTATGAAAAAAAATGAAAGAAATGAGAGCAAAAGTAAGAGTGAATGTAAATAATGAAATGTCCCCATAGAATAGAAATAGATGCAATGAAAAAAGATATGAAAGATGCTTGGAATAATTAAAACAATTGTTTTAAAGAATCATATGGAACTACACAAACAGGAAGTATGAACAAGGATGCTTGGGGGAAAGATAGTTTGCAGATAAGAAAATTTATATAAGGAGTCCTGCAAAAAAATTAACATGAGAGATTACATAGGTGTGGGTTGCTTTTAGAGTGACTGGGCAAATTCTTTGTGTGTGAAAACTTGCTTAACAACTGGAAAGAATGCCAATACTGTTCACTTATACAAAGGGAAGGGTAGTAAGAGTGAATGCAAAAACTACAGCAAGATTAGCCGGTTAAAACTGCCTGGGAAAGTGTTTTCCAGGATTGTGATCAAGGAATATGGTAACGAGCACATTTAGGAAGTGCAATGCAGCTTTATTTGGTTTATTGGCTTTATTTCCATGCAGAAAAACAACTATTAATCATGGTGAATTTTCATTCTTTAGTGAGGAGACACATTCCTTAGGATTTGGGATAGTCTTTTCAATAAACATCCCATCCTTAATATGCAACTAACTGAAATCCTTATTGCCCACAACATGAATTGTCCTTATTACTTCATATGTGTTAGTACCATTGTTTTATTATTACTGTGATGACATGTCAATATGATTCCTTTATGAGATGAATATTAACTATCCAGAATCTGTCAGGTTAAGCATAATAAAAATGCTAGAAAATAAACAACTGAAGCCATTCATGACATTAAAATAACTTGAAGGCACAAAATTAGGACACTAATTTAATTGGACTGCAGATATTACACTGGTACACCAATTTCTAATTTGTCCAAATCTAATTTTCCCTCCATCAATAGATCCAAGTCCCAAAATGGTAATGTTCCAGATGAACTCACAATTTTCAGAGCAAGGCCCAAACCATGCCAAAGAAGCTAGGTGTAACTTTGAAATATGACCTCCAAATTCATCTTCAAAGATGAATTTGGCAGAAATGTCTGCTTTTAATATGCCAATTCCAGTAAAGCAGTTTTTGGTGATAATTTGCCTACTTTTTATTATTTTATTATTGTTGTTATGCTGTTTATTATCTGCTCCCATCTGCTCAGAGAAACACAACTTATATTTTTGGATGTTTCACAAGAGGAACTACAACTATGTTTCATATAAGCACTATGTTCTTACCACCCTTTTCAAGTTTTGAATCTTTCCCCCCCATAACGTAAGAATACTTAAAATTACATCTTCATATAATGCAGTAAAATCAGCACTAACCTTATAGGCACATGTCCAACATCAAAGTTCTTCATATAATGAGAACATTCCATATCATCATGAACAACCCCCTTTCCTGTGCTACCGAAGGTTTCTATAGCGTATACTTCTCCTTCCTATTAAAAAGAAACATATATGAATTTAGTATATGTATATACTATGTCCAAAATTATGAATCTGAACTGGGCTACCCGCTCCAAAATTAATCTGGTCATAATGCTGTTTACACATGTCATACGCCAATTTTTTTTTATTAAGAAGAAACGTAATCATTTCATTCCTCGTGTCAGGAAGATTGGCTGAATTAACCAGTAAGTCTTTGTTCAGAGTAAAGTTATTTACTTCCTGCAAATTAGCAGTTCTGAAAGGGAATGTATATTTTTCTTATAACAAAGTTCCTAATGGAGCATCCATTTAGCAGTAAAAGGTCCTTTCTTGTGAAGACCATAAGGTACCTTTTTATTCAATGTTTACATGAAGTTGTCAGTGAAGGCTATCCACCTGCAAAATGGCAAGTATCAATGCACTGTACTAAAACTGTATTGTATATTTATTAGATTTTTAATCTATCTCACAACATCTTAATTTTGATGAGCAACCACATTTAATCATATGAACAGTTAATTTGGAATTATTTTTAAAGAGCAATTATTGTACAGATAACAAAAGATCAGTGGTACAAGAACGTAATTGTTTTGACATCCCACTGACCAGAATTTTTTTTCAACCCAGTCCATCCATATTTGGTTTCCTTAATTTGCTTTTCTACATTATGGGTGTTGTGACTGATTGCACTACATGGCACCCAGTTTGCATTCCAATAGCGTTTTGTAGTTGCATCCATGACATTTTTACAAAATCCCAAAATGCTCCTGCTGGTCAAAACATTTATTGGAAGTTAAAAATATTGAAATCAGTGGTACCTCCAAGTAAGCATGAGTATGATCAGACTGTTTATCTATACTTACTTCCATTCTTGTTGCTTCCCCTCCTTTCACAATGGGAACAGTTTTGCCTGCGTGTATCCTGTATGGCCCAATAGAGTGTCCATTCAAATTCCGAATAGGTTTCACTACATAAAATGAAAAATATTAAGATAAATAGATGCATGTAAGTAAGAGGGCAGTGTAAAACATCACAGGAAATGTGAGATTTAATGGACTTTGTGCATTTTCATAAGATTTGAGTTTTACAAATGCAACTTGAATCTTAAGTTAGTTTTGGCTGATTTGCATATATTTAATAACTAGAAAAATTATATCTTCTGAAATAAGCAATTTAAAAAACTCAATATTCAGAGTTTAGAAAAATATATTGATGTTTTAAAAATCAGCTTCAAAATATTTTATTGTAGGTATTATATAAGCAAACTCTTCAGTTTTTATCAAGATAACCATACATATTAGTTGGAACATAAATCACCTTGATAGGTTTTACCATCAATTTCAACTTCATAAGATTCCATGACTTCCTGGATAGCTTCACCAACATCACAGAGGCGAACATCTATTCCAGCACACTATTTATATACAAGAGAAAATGAAAATTATTTTTATCTTCACTTTTACAGTATAGATAAGGACAGAATTGTACTATTTCGGAGTATACCTTTATTCCAGTATTAGTTGCATCTTTTACAGCTTGTAAGAGCCTGTCATATTTTGGATTGAATGTGACAGTAAAAGCACAGTCAATGATACGACCTGAAATTAGATAAAAGGAGATAAAATAACTTGCTTCCAACTAAATTATATGATTATGTTTTAAGAAAGAGGAACTCACCATTAATATGTGTTCCAAAATCTATCTTGCAGATATCATCATACTGCAAAACAGTTGGATCTCCAGCATTGGGGGTATAGTGGGCTGCACAATTATTCAGAGAACACCCTGTGGGAAATGCAAGCCCAGCATTTAAGCCATTTTCTCGTATCAACTTCCGTGAACAATCTTCTAGTTTTTCACTAGAAAAAGTAAACAAAAAGGTTTGTTTCCATAGGTTTACTTAGCTGTATAGAAGCCATGTTTCAGCTGTTTCTAGTTATCTATTATATCCAGGCATACCATTGACATTACACAGTACTGTGTAAGACTAACGTTTTGTTTCAGAAGTATAAATTCTGTGGAAATTTTGATTTGATATGCAAACCTAGAGATATTTCACAGTATTTTAAACAGTTTTGCATAATACTAGGAGACTACTGATAACCTTATATATCCATATTTAATTATTCAAAATAAATGAAGAACAATTTTTATTGCTTTATAGAATTGTTATGCTAAGCTTCCACATTCATCAAGGCTTGTACAGTGAAAATAATTAAAAGTTAAACCTACAAAAATGTGATCTACTATGCTATCTTTTTTTAAGTTAAAATGTTAGACTTTCATTATTTTTTAAAAAAAGTTACTATATTTTATTATTACCAAATTTCGATCATGGTCATTCCAGGCTTGATCCAGCTCATAACGTATTTCCTCACTTGTCTATGTGCTTCAGCAGCCTCTCTGAAATCATTCCAGATCTCTTCACTTGCTTGATCTAGCGCTCTCTTTTCATCACTTGTAGTCCTCCAAGCAGCTGTTCTCCTTTAATATTGAAAAGAAAAGTCAGATATTTGTCATCATAACGTGAAATCCAAACCAAGTATTAGATGAATTTCAATTTGGGGGTGGGAGGGTGCAGAGGGTGGTAGTGGAGTCCACTAAAAAAATGTAACTTTTCAAAATATTAATTTTCATCTAACTCCAAGTTGACATTGATATTTTTTGCCATATGATTCTACAAAAATGCCAAATAATTCTTTAAACTGTCAAGTACTTACAGTTATCTCTTTAAACATCAAAATATTGCATTCAGCTACTAATCAACTACATAGATCTGCCAAATTATATGCTGAGATTTAAAAAAGGGGATTTGGGTACCAGTATATATTATCCATAATTATCAGCCTTACTCTGCAATGGTTATATTCCATTTTCTCAGGATGCTCAGGACACTATTAAAGATCTGGCTATTTTCCCAATCTTTGGGGTAGTGCAAAACCTAAGGCCCTATGGGTGGGTTTTCTTTGGTTATACACTGTTTCTGAGGCCAATTGTGATACATAAATACATGCATACACATATATACATACCTACTGCTGCCATTATTAGAAACTTGCTGATATACTATAAATCACACAAATGCATGCCAAACCTATTTCTTGCCCAGATATATTATAAAGTGCAAAATAAAATATTTGAAGTGTAGATGAGTCTTCAAAAGTAATATCCTTATCAATTAAATTATCAGTGTCTTGAACCCTAAATTGAAAAAGACATATCAAGACACATACCCATCTTGCGTTGCTGGATACTCGCATTCTTCGCCTTTTGGAAATATCCCACTGGGAAACAAGTCACATATTGGAATAGATGGTGGGTCTGTCTGCAGCTTTGCTGTTAGAGAAAGAGACTTAGTCTGTCTTAGAATAAAAAAACCATTGTCAACAGATATTTCTTTTTAAAATAATCCTTACTTATTGTCCGAGTTTTAGTCAAAAACCGAGTACATGTTAAATGAACAATTCTCAGAATGCTCAAAATTCTCCCCAAAGTTTTTCTTGGCCAGATAAATTGCTTGTCTTATGGATACCATGTGAGTTTCTTTAAAACAATATTAACATAAATATTCACATGACTCTAGGATAGAATCTACACTACTCATAAAGCATTAAGGCTATCTTTTGTTAAAAATAAAATAGTTGTGTATTACCTGTGTATTTGGGTATGCACACAGACACTACAGTTCCTTAGCTTTTAAAAGTCCCTTTAGTCTTACATTTGTATTTCATTGAGAAAAAATGGCTTATCTTTTTAAGGATCATTGTTGGAGAACTCTCCTTCACAAAATACTTGCATGCTGTATAATGCTATATAGGTAGAATCCACTTAATAATAGTAATTTGGAGCAGTAACTCCATCACTTAAGTGAATGTCTACAGAGGTTTCAGTCATCCAGGTCATGGTTGTCTCAAAGGTTTTCAAAATGCAACTATTTTGCTTGAAGACATTTTGCTTCTCCAGTTCTAGCTGAATGGTGGAGAATGGAAAGATTTCTACTAGGAATATAAATCCTTCCATTCTCTGCCATTCAGTCAAAACTGGAGGAATTTCTTGGATGAGAAGCAAAATGTCTTCAAGCAAAACAAAGAAAATCCAGTTGCCTTTTGAAAAAGTACCTTTGGGACATCACTAAGTGAAGTCAAAAAACATGACATCATATGACCAAACTGACTTATGACGGTAGTTGCTGCAGTTCTAGTTGCAGTTTTTAGGCGAATCCCACACAGCTGAAGAACTCAATGGTCGCATGATCAGCATTTGTAACTTCCTGCTGGCTTCCTATTGACTTGCTTGCCAGAGTGAAGGTTACAAATGTGACCTGCAACCATAAATTGTGAACCGGTGGCCAAGACCCCGAATTGTAATCAAGTGTCCACAGGATACTGCAACAGCTACAACTATGAGAAACAATTAAAAATCCTCTTTCAGTACCCTCGTAACTTTAAAGTCACTGAATGAGGATTACCTGTAGTCATTTTCTGTCTGTACATATATTAATTTATTTTATAAACATTTTAAAGCATCGATTAAATCCTTTGTCTCAGATACTGAAAGTATTTACTGCGTCTGGGAAAAAAAAACAATTAAGTACCTGATAGTATGTTTAATCTCAGAATCCAAATGTGTGCAAGCATCCATAGAAGACCAAATCAAGATACTGTGTTGATATTACATTTTAATCAGAATGGAAGATCAGCGTTCTTTCACTGATCAACAAGGGCAAATCCAATACTTAAGAATGTTGCTCAAGAGTGTGCCAATGCTATATGGCAGCCAACTAGGCAATGAATCATTGCCTTTATTCAGAATAAAGTAGTATTTCACAAGCATTTCATGTTTAACCAACACCTACGTCCTTTCTTTTTCTTCTTTTTCTTCTTTTTCTTTCCTGCTGCACTGTCACCGTCTCCTTCACCATCTACACAAATCAGATAAAATATTAAATACTGAAAATGTCCTAAAAGAACAACATTTAGACATCCAGTTTTCTTCCAGAACATTAATTTGATGATAAAGTCATAGCAATGTTTTATCGCAAATACTGCTGATATTGTGCACTAGATCACATATAATCAGTTTATTTATACCCCAGCTTTTTTTGAACAAACTGGAAAAAAGACACAACGAGCTCCCACTTCCCATTTTTTCCCCACCAAAAAAATGATCTGTAAACTATGATTAATTTTGTTCATCTTTTTATTGCCTTCCTAGGTTTTTTTTTAAAACATCTCTTTGAAAGGTGTGTAAATATGGTTTATCCTCATGTGTTTACTCATGGCTGATTTGGCTAAATGCCAAGCTTCCAGAAATTCCCTAGCATTTTTAGATTTGGCTTAGTCTAAGATTAGACAGAGAACATATCGTCGTCTCCAGCAACCAACACTGCAATAAGCAGAGCTCAACACCAGAAAAACAATCAAGCAGAAAACAATGTTCTAATCAAGGAATTACACAGGAGGAAACCACATTCCGAACAAAATTGAGGGCAAGATATTGCATATATAAACAGGCAGCAAATCCCAGTCATCCCAGCATTGATTATGTTATCTAGTTTACTTATTCATTACATTTCTATACTATCGATCTCTCCTAAATGACTCTGGGCAACTAGTTGAATAATGAAACGTATGCAAACAACCAAGTTCAGGCAGCACAAAGAACTCTACAAAATAACATTAACTATGTGTATGCAAGTTTACTGTGGATAGCACTGTATTTGAACTGATGAAACTGTTTAAACTTACATGTCATCCACCCTTTCAGGTAGCGTTTACATTTTATCTTTAAACTAGCATACTGTTTAATTGTTGTGCGTGATCAAAGTAATTGGTAGACTTATGGTCAAATAATATCTTTTAACTCTGGTGATCCTATCCTTAAGGAGGAATTAGAATCAGGATATGTCTGCCATTGGTTTACATATTTACAACTGAAAGATTTAAAGCAGATAAAAAGAGTTATGGCTCTGATTTTGTGAAAAATGACTTAGAGATCCTACTGTGTGGTAGTCATGAACATATTGCTAAAGTTTATAAACTGTTATTGACTTTGAATTTGAAGAATGAATATATACTGCACTGCATGATTCAGTGGACAAGGAATTTTGGATATAATGTCATGCTTGAACAATGGGACAATATGTGGATGAAAGGATTAAAATTTACATTAAATTATAACTTAAAAGAAAAATTTTATAAAATGTTTCAGTGGTATTTAACACCAGGTAAGTTTTCAAGAATGCATAAATGTATTTCAAAAGAATGTTGGAAATGTAAAAGTAAAGAAGGGACCTTTTATCACTTGTGGTAGACACGTGACAAAGCAAAGAAACATTGGAGGAGTTATATCTTAATACAGAAGATTCTCAAAGTAAATACAAAGATAAAACCAGAAACTTTTCTTTTGCATTTAATGGAAGAAGACTTGGGGAAAAAATCTGGAACTTTGATGCTATCTATGTTGATGGCAGCAAGATTATTTTATGCACAAAAATGGAAGGACACTTTGATTCCCACAATGGATGAATATCTGCAGACGTTGATGGAGTTAGCAGAGATGGCAAAACTGACTGCTTTGATTAAAGACAAAAATACAACTACTTTTGTTTCTACTTGGAAGCCGGTTCTAGACTTTGTGGTTGAGGTGGAAAAAAACAAAACTTTGATTTTGCCTTTTAACAATTACATAGCTTTATACTGTACTGTATTTATAGCTTATACTGTTATGTAAAAGTAAGTTTTGATGTTACTTTTTTATTCTACTGCACCAAAGGAAATTGAAAGTTGCCTGTTTTTCTTTTTTTAGCCTTTTCCCCACACTTTTCCCTATCCTAACTTCCCTACTATTTTCTTTTGTATTTATGTATCTTATAGTATTAACACATAAATAAAATTTTGGCTAAAAAAAATGTTGTGCACCATCCAGAGACATTGGTAGCATACAAGTTTAAATATTATTATGCTCCATGTAACAGGCTGAAAACAAATGTGATATGTGTATTCATCTGTTTCTTCCAATCATCTAGAATTTTATATATATTTCATAACCTTTTAATCAAAGAGTTAGCACAGCGTCATACGCATGCAGCATGGCTTGTTTGCTTTTGACAATCTATCAATCTACAAGATTTGTAAATCAGAGTTAGATGACACTTCAACCTATTTCTTTTTGGCATTTCTAACCTACTGCAATCCAAAGACCTTTTGCAACATTATTTATTCAATAAACATAATTAAATATCCACTGCTAAAGATTATGTGAACCAAACCATATTTACTATAATCTATATAAGACTGTTTCAACATGAATTTCAGTTCTCCATTCTAGTAAACTCTTATTCTACAAATACTTCTAGCACAAAGTCACATGAATATTTACCTTCATCGTCATCATCTTTTTCCTTTTCTTCCAGTGTTTGTTTATCTAGTTGGTTTGCTACCTCATCTAGTGTTGTCTCTAACTCTTTTTCAGCCTCTTGTTGTCCTATTTGTAAAATAAACAAGTAAGTTAACAGAATGTCAAACTCCCAGATATCAGTGATCTTATGTAATTCTTCACAATGAATAAAAAACTACACATTTTAGAAAGCATAGCTATACATTCTAATCTATTGTTCACTTAACCTAAACACTTCTACTGAAAGAGTTTAAACCCATTTACACTTTCTATCTCCACAATCAGCTTATATTCTTATATCTTATTTTTCTAAACTATGACAATCACACAGTTTAGTGCCATTTTGCAATAATTTATTTTATCCCTACTGCTCAACCTATTTAGACATTCATCTAAAAGATCAGTCACCACTTGAAAATATTGTATTAAATAATGTATTAATTGTGAATTCTGTTAAGTACAATTTCTCCTCATCTATGTAAATACTGTGCTTAAATTTTTAATAAAATCTCTCCCTCAATCCAGTTCACAAGCCCTGTTTCTTTACAGAACAGTGGAAATATGCCCTTGTTAAGACAAGATTTCTTATGCAAGAAATCCTCCTGAACACAGCGCACTAAATTTAACTTTCATATATCACAGTATTCCCACCATTAATACCAAAATGACTTATGTTCCCCGCCATCACTTCCCGAAAACATTTTTTAAATTCTCCAGCAGCAGCGGTAGGGCACCAGGGAACAAGGCGATCGTCCGGTATCATTCAAACGCCTTTCCACGGGAACCAAAGGGTTGGTCCACTGTTGTTCCACTCGAATGCGAACTTAAATATGGCCAACACCTTCGTTCCCCTGTCACGCTTCCCCATATTCAGGCAACTATTCCGCCCTGCTTTCGGAAAAGTTGCTTCCTCGGCCACTCCAACCTTTCCTTTCCCTGTGGCGGCCGGGCCTCTCCACCCTAGCTTGCCTTGCCCGGCCCAGGTCCCTTCGTACCGACAGCTCCTCCTTTGCTTTTCTTTTTCTTCTTGCGTTTTTTCTTGGCGTTTTCATCGGCGGCAACCCCACCGGTGCTTTCTCTTTCCTCGGGCTCCAAAAGCAGCTCTCCGTTCAGGTGTTTTTCCTCCACGGGGATGGCTTCTTGCTCCACGCCCGCCATGTTGAGCGCTCATCGACGTTCCCAAGACTGCCACTAACAGCAGGCACAGAAGGGGCAAGATATCGGAAAGGGCTGCCGCTCGTGCTCCGGCTACTCTATGGTGCAGGAGTGAGGCACGCCGGGAAAGTGGAGAACTCGGCAAGGAGGCGGTTGTCGGCACGTGCGCCTGGAAGGTTCCGCGAGGTTTGAGTTGCGAAGTGCTCTGTGGCTCTTCGTGGGAATTTAATTGTTCTTTTATATAGAGTTAGTAGGTCTCCGTCTTTCCCACCAAACTATATTATGGTTCTGAGTTTTACAGATTTATCTTGCAGGAAAGAACACGACGAGTGATTAAAGCCGGATTCAGTTGGAAATGAGCCCCGCTGAACTGAATGAAACTAGTTTCCAGCTAAGCACCAACGGAATCACAGTTACTGCAGCAAAAGTTTTTATGCTGAAGTCTGCTTCAGATGAAAACTTTAATGAAAACCGTGGCCACTTTGTGTGCTTAAAAGTTTACGATGACAACCCTAGGAAAAAAAGATTTGGACAGTTTTCAATCTGAAAGTAACATTTAATACAGCACAGTACTTAAGCAAAATGGTTCAGTTGAGATCTGCATATGTGGGACTGATTGGGGTAGATTGCAGGGGTGACACCGAAATATAATTTTATCATATTTTATATGTTAAATTATTGTATTATTCCAATTTCATTTTAGACTATATTTTAGTCCAATTTCATTTTAAATCGTATTTTATTCCAATTTCATTTTAAATTGTATTTTATCCAATTCCATTTTAAATTGCATTTATTAAATTTTAGTAATTGTTTCTGGAACTTTGCACTTGATAAGGCCCAAGGCTAATAAATAATTGAATACTGCACTATAAGGTGGTATAGAATTCTGTGACTTAGTTTAAAGCTTTTAAAAGAAACGTGAAATTGGGAAATTGGATCTCATGCCTGTAAATAGCCTGTTACAATTCAACATATTCCTGATATACAATTTACAATACCTTGAAAAGCAGCCTTGATTTTTTACTACCTAAGTATATCGAAAGAAGAAATGTAGACAAGTGTCTAAGCTGGATCCTCATTGTTCTGAGGCTAAGCTACATTCTGTTTTGACCATAGTCTGTTGAATAAATTATAAAGCATAAGTTAGCACATGTAAAATTATAATCTTGTTTTGTAAATTAAAACCAATTGGGTTTGCACCCAATTTGTGTGTGTGTGTATATGCAGATCTTGGCGTGTTCGGGTCTTTTCCCGTGTAAGATTGAGAGTATCTTGGCGACGTTTCGACAAGGTCCCACTCGCCATTTTCAGGCTAGTGCTTTCGATGGTGAAGACGGTGAGTGGGACCAAGATACTCTCAATCTTACATGGGAAAAGACCCAAACACACCAAGACCTGCATACCTGTACCCATGAAAATCTATGAACACACACACACACACACACACACACACACACACATATATATATATAAGTTTTCGTAGATTGTCACATGTTTATAGAGAGACAGCAGCTCCGATCACACACTGCTTGCACTGTCACAAAGCCGAAAGCACCAGCCTGAGGATGGTGAGTGGGAGCTCGCCGAAACGTCGCCAAGATACTCTTAATCTTACACGGGAAAAGACCCGAACACACCTAGACCTACATATAAATATACATACATACATACACACACACACACACACACACACACACACACACACACACACACATATATTCCTATCCACTAAGAGATAGCTATAGATTCAATTTAATATGCAGTTAATTTAATTGATGTTTACAGCTTTTTCTATGAAAGGAGATGTGACTAGTTAGACGTAGGATGCATGAGAAGACTTATTTAAGTTACAAAATGATTTTAATGTAATTTAATTTGATAAAAGTAAAATATATGTGCCAAGTACCTACAAAGCTTTTCCCAAGCCAAGAAAGTGTCATGTGCCAAGGTAATTAGTGCCTTCGCTAGTGAACAAATATAGGAGAGAGGGAGGGACTTGTGACCATAGCCAGAACAATCAGTGGAACAACTTGCCTCCAGAAGTTGTGAATGCTCCAACACTGGAAATTTTAAAGAAGAAATTGGATAATCATTTGTCTGAAATGTTATAGAGCTTCCTGCCTGAGCAGGGAGTTGGACTAGAAGATCTCCAAGGTCCCTTCCAACTCTGTTAACTTTCTAGTATATTTGGAGGTGAATGTGTGTATTTGCCCCACATGTCATATACAAAAGGCACATTTGTTATATTTGTGTCAAATTATCTGAATTTGATTATCAACTATTTGAATAGTCAACCATTAAGCACTTTTTATTTGCTATTATTTATAGTAGGTGTGTGCATTCTGTACATCATGTTCCCAAACTAGCTGTAATTGCACAAGATAGGCTGCATCCAAGGAAATGACTGAAAGAGTTGCCTTTTTATTCTACATCACAATGTAAACGGCTTTTGTTTCCCAGTTGTTAGAGCTGGGAAACTCTTAAAATGATACTTCTTTATACCCAGTGCCTTAGCCTGTTATCCTGGAAGGTAAAGAATCAAGACTGAGAAAGAAAATACTTGATTGAGGATTTCCAAGGGCAAATTTTACTTCAACCACAGCTATGCTAATTTTGATGTTCTTGACTGTTATTAAGTCATATAATAAGAAGGTGAAGTACTTTGGGTTTGAATGGAAAAAGGAATTCTTTTAGAACTTATCACCTCAGTTGGCACATATACCTAGCGCTAAAATCTTGGTCTTCATTTTGTAATGTATTTGACTGATTATTGCCAAGTTTCTTTGCCAACACTATTGAGCTTGAGTCAGTATTATTAAGTGCCTGTTTTCATTTGGTCGGCAAAAAGGTGTCCTGTGCCCTTCAGTTATAATGGCTTGATATTGGCTTGATAATATCAGAGCAAATTTTCTTAACTCCTTAACTTTCTTTCACTTAAATACTATGGGCATCTATAATGATTTGCTACTTGTGATGTATAATTAATAGCCTGCATGTTTTACTTTGATTAACTTTATTACTTGATGTCTAACAGCTGCCCTGAGTTATGATTTAAGGTGACCAGCACCCATTTTAGTCTTTTAAATAAATATAGACTAAAATAAATTATGGGGAAACTGAAATAAAACTGCTATATGCCATATTTTTCCACTAAATATGATGAATTACAAGGTATAATAAACCATGCCTTTATATCTCTCTTAACTGAAATGGCGCACGTAGTGGCTTGTATAGATACTAGTCAAAAGTTGTGACCTTGAAGGAAATTCCATTGCTGTACTCCCCCCTTTATACTTTCAATTGTCCTTTAGGAAGCTCTTTGTATAGCTGTTACAGTATTCTTAAGGACTTTGCCATTGACAATGATAGGTGGATTCTTTTAGGAGGGAGAAAGCAATTGTTGACCTAGTATTTATTTATTTAAATGTATTGGGTGTCCAAAAGCATTAATAGAAGACTTCCATTTATAAGAATTTGTTGCAGAAAATCCATAGTATTATATAACTTGATGCCTTTCAAATGTGCTGGGGCTAAAACTTTCAGAATATTCAGCTACTGTAGTTACTGAGAGGTGAAATTACATATAACAAAAAGGCACTAGGTTGAGGAAAACATTTACAGAAAAAAGAAATAGTTATTAAAGTTACCAGGCTTATTTGTCTGCAAAAAGCTTGTTTTTATCATTCATACAGACTGATAATTTGACAAAAATACATAACCACCTAAAATAAAATTGAGAAACTAGGCAAAATTAGGTATGTTGGATATGCTGCCTTGCGTTATTTGTAAGCATAATAAAGGTTTGAATACAAATAAATAAAAATTTCAAATTATTCATTAAAGAACACTCACTTTTCAAGGGTGAGAGAAAAAAAAGCATGTCTGTATTTCAAAAAGGGAACAAAAGTGAATACCCTGAGTATTTGTTATCCTTGGATATTAGCCATTGAAAATATTGTTTAATGATTAAATGTATTGCTGTACAGTATTGCAGGGGAGCAGAGCTGTCATGGCTGTATGTTTTCATTTCTCTTTTTTCATCTCCAAAATCAACAATATGGAAATGAGCCATTTTTTTCAGTTGGTTTCTCAAAGCCATCAAAACAGAGATAATATATGTTTGAATTTTGACAAACCTGTTATTCTCTCCCATTAAAGCAACATTACAAAGTAAATCTTTGCAATAAACATTAATAGGTAGACTAGTCTGTCATCTCCATGGGCCTTATTTACTACAGAACAAGCAGACTCAGCCAGCCTTTTAAGAATTGCGCTATGGATTAATTGATTGATAGTTTAATTTAATATCATTTGATCTCATCAAATAAAAGGGAGTCTGATGTGATAATAGGAGGAAATGCTTTTAACATAAGTAAAATTATAAATCTTAAATACATTTATCAGGAAGTAAGCCTACTTGCACTGGCTTTGCTTTTGAATAAACATTATAGTTAAATTTCAGATCACTTCAAAAAAAGCTTACAAAGAGAATGCATAACCTCTTTAAGCAGTTTCCAAGTAGCTTACAGTTACAAACTTTTATCTGAGGCTGTTTGGAAAAACAAGTACAGATTTGCTTTGTCTTGAATTTAAAAACTGTTACATTCTTATATGATCTATGAACACGGGTAAAGGAAAAAATTGCTAAAAGCATTCAAACAGGAAAAATAATTATCTGAACAAAGCAATTTTGGTAGATCATACCATCATTGGATAAGCCACTGATAATATAACCCAAATTTTTAAATCATTTCTATATATATTAGTGTGAGCTTTTGTAGACTATGCTCCTTTTCTATCATGCAGGAAGCATTATAGCGAGATAAGAGTTTATATGAATGATGATGGAGTGATTAGGCCAGAAAAAAATATTATGAAATGGATAGCAGCTCTTCATCCAACAGCAAATGACAAAGTATTTGATGAATTGAACTAATTAAAGCTTGATATAAAAACATATCTCTGTGGGGGATGAGTCTGCCTACCAAGATGAGGTGGACCAGTTGTTTTCGTGGTGTGGAGATAGTAACTTGGTCCTGAACACCAATAACACC